TTCTTTTCAAAATAGTTATTAAGATTGTAATTGTACCTAAGTCAATATTTTTCTTGACGAAATATCCAGTTTATGTACAAAGTTAAAATTTTTTATTGCTATCAGTTTTTTGATATTACTGCCAAAATTGAAATTAAAGGAAATCTGCATAACGGGTAAATTTCTAATTTGTGTTCGTTGTCAAGCGCATCGCTACATCAACACACACGAAACGTGTTTCCAGAAATTTGTACTAGAATTATCGCTCGGCAGGAGTTGAGTAATATACATTTCCCATTATTGATAATCTCTATTACTAATGCGCAAGTTGTACTTCTGCTAAAAATCATCAACATTTATTATGTTTCCTACCCTGCATTCCTATTATACATCCGCAAATGTCATTTTGTTTTTGCGTTCGATAGTATTAGGCATTCCAAACAAAATGGCTACCAGTGGGGTTTGACAGATTATGCTATGGCAAAATTATGGCAACCCTGTAGGCCTGGTGATTTGACAAGGTCAATGAAATAGATAGTTACATAGATTGATCATCCATATTTTTCAAAATAAACATAAGCTTATGCCTTGAAGTAAAAATGTAGGTAATTATTTTTTTACTATATTCAAAGGCTAAATATTGGTTTGTAAACACATTTTTGCAAAATCGATTCTGATTAATGAGCACTTTGCGAGGCAATATGGCCGCTCGTAAACTACCCGCTTTGAGCAATCTATATAACTATATATGCATCATTGACCCTGGCAAAGACAACAGGCTCCCAGGGTTGCCATATCTAAATGTCAGTTCCCACTTGTCAACAGTTTGATAGGTCGTTGGAATGCCAAATTGGTAGGTAAGCCAGCTATTGTTCGCGAAAGCTAGAATTACAAATAGTTCGTTAATTATTACCTAGTAGAACATGAAAATAGTTTGCAGGGATGGAGCCATCGACAATAACGTTTTAAAAAAGCCTATGCAGAAAATGCTGTCATAGAAGCGCAAAGTTGAAATTTTCAGATATTTACTTCAAAAGTTAGTAGAAAAAAGTGGTGCCACGTTGAAATTCAGCTCACAGTACCTTCGTGCTTGGTGACAGGATTTTTTCGTTAAATCAATTGCAGCAAAGTATTTCCATCTTCTACAGGGTAAGAATTAACGGTACATTTATAATCTAGCCTTGTGTACCAAAAATTTTCACTGGCTCCCACTATATAGAATCGATGACAGTTGTTTAAAGTAACGATGACATGGGGTAATCGTCGTAGCTAACCCAACAATTATAGGTCGAAAATAAGAGAGGATAGCAGAAAGTATTTAAAAAATTACTAGATTCAAAAGTCCCGCCTTTTTTTTCGCGCATAAGTAATGCGAAATTGTCGAATAATGGAAAAGGTGGATTGTCCGAGAACAAAAATGTCACTTATAAGAATCAACTAGTAATCAATAGGACGATGGTGGTAAAGAAAATAATAAGCAATGCAAGAGTTGCAGAAATTGGTCACTGTGCTGCTATCCCATCATTTGTAAATATAATTTGTATACCGAATGTTGGCACTAGTATATAAATTTTTGCTGACAATTCCAATTTCAGAAGTAGCCTGACTGCGAGAGTTTTTCTAAACTGAAATGTGCACACAAAAAAATTACAGCCCTTGGAAAATACAAAAAGAAAATTGGTTTTGTCCAATATTTCATGAATTATTTAACATTTTGTAAGGAAAATGGATACATGACTTTCTTATCATAAGCGCATCTTTTTCATATAAAACTACGAAATCTGTACAGCCCATAAAAAGTTAAGGGTGGTTTTGAATCCCTAAAACCCCCCAAACTTTTCTATGCGTTACAATTAAATTAGTATTGTCACCATTGGTATAATACATCATTTTTTAATTTTTTTTTTGCCTCTCAGCACTTTTTCGAAAAGCCAGTTTTTATCGACATGCAGCTTCTTTTTCATTGTCCTTCAAACATTTTGAGTATCAAAAAGTAAGTTGCAGGTATAAAAAAAATATGTACAAATGTGTAGTATTTACAATAATAAATGTTCAAAATCAAAATAAATCGATTTGCACTTTCAAAGATTGTTGTTGTTCGTCGATTATTTCAACAGAATACACATACTCTTTTATAAAACCCCATATGCAAAAGTAAATAGGGTTAAGGTCTGGACTTCTGGCTGGCTGAAAAATAGGTACAGCAGGGCCCCTTTCAATCCAACGTCCAGGATACAGACCGAAAATATATTACCGATCTTCGTTATCGAAATGCACGGGAGTTCCATCTTGTAAATACCACATATTTTGCCTTATTTTTAAATTTATCTCTTCCAAGTACTCTAGTAAAATATTATGTAAGAACTGTAAGTAATTTGCAGCATTTAAATTATTTGGAAGAAATACTGGTCCTATTAAATTATTATTCACAATGCCTACCCAAACAGACATTAAAAGTACTTTGGCGACGAGTCGCTTTTTTGCGTGAGGATTTTCTTCGTTATGATAATTCGTAATGTCATTTTTGTTGAAGGTAGCTTCATCGGTAAACAAAATATGATTAATGAAATTGATATCTGGATTGTTTTCCGTTAAGAATCTGTCGTAAAATCCCATTCTCTTAGATCTGCATCTAGTAATTCTTGAATGGTTGTTAAGGGATTATGCTGCTGTTCCTTCAATCTTCTCCGAACCATCATGTGACTATCGATATTATCGATAGTTTGAACTTGTACGTTTTTAGAATATTTCAAGTTCATTTTTACGGAAATCGATCAAAAAAATTTAAATTAAAAATAATTTACATTTATAAAAATGCACTCAGCAATTTAGCACGTCTGTTTTCTTTTGTCTCTGCTTTGTTTGTTGTTTTTTTTTGTATGTATACTTTTTATTTCTTTTTTTTTTAATAAAAAGTAACTTTTATAAGTGGATATTTAATATTTCAAATATAAATAAAACGTATTACTATTACTACGTATCAACCATTGTATCAGCGTTGCTATAGTTTCGATAGTACTATCGATTGTAACTCTTTAAACTATCGATAGTGCCGACTATCGATAGTATCCGACCCCTACATGTGACCAATATATAATTAAGCAGCTAATGGGGTCTATTCTGTAAAAATTCCTTTATATTTAACGGCCTTTAAAAATATTTTCTTCTTTAATTCGGTCACTATTTAAACGTATCTTTAAAATACATTAGAGGACTATCTTAAAGAAATCTGTTTAAATAATGATAGAAGTAAATTAACGAATACGAACATATTTTTATAGGCCGCCAATATTTTTAAAGGCCGTTAAATATAAAGGAATTGTTACAGAATAGACCCCATTACCCTTGTACTGCTTCCAGGGTTTTCTTCGACTAACTCTAAAATCTCCTAATCGTTTGTATCCATTTTTGGACGACCACTATTACCAACAAGTTGGAGTCGCAAAGTTCCCGTCTCCCGTAAACGACGATCAATGGAAAGAAATAATCGTCTGTGTGTATTATGATTGGGATATTATTTCGCATAACGCCTTGCAACTGCTGCACTATTCCCTTGTCATTCACCCGTGATTACCAGAAATAAATGCATATCTGCCATTTCTACAAACGTCTATAGCATTGTAACAGAAAGTTTAATTTTTCTTAACACTATTAAAATGCACAATAATCGATAGTTTCAATTGACAGTATGGAATTGTTAAAGCAACTGTTTGATATTTATCCATAGAAACTACGAGTGTTGAACAGCCAACTTCAAAATGTTTGAAGGATAATGAAAAAGAGGCTGCATCTCTATAAAAACTGGCTTTTTAAAAAAGAGCTAAGAGCTAAAAAAATTTAAAAAATGATTCATTAAACCAATGGTGCGACAATACGAATTTAATTATACCACATAGCAAAGTTTATGGGGGTTTAGGGGTTCAAAACTCCCCTAAAAATTTTATGGGTTGTACAGATTTCGTGGTTTTATGGTGAAAAAGATGCTCTTACGATAAGAAAGTCATGTATCCATTTTCATTAGAAAATGTTGAACAGTTCATGAAATATTGGAAAAAACAATTTTCATTTTGTACTTTCCAAGGGCTGTAACCTCTTTGTGTGCACATTTGCATCAAGGTAAGTTATGTTCAATCGAGTTATTTTTGACCCCAGAATATGTGGTTCCATTTATGATCTACCTTTTTGTTACACCCTGTATAGTTGTTAGGGTGTTTCATTTTTGAGCGACTTCTTTTTTTCAACTAAAAAACAGGCTTAAAACTTTCAGGAAGGTGAAAAAAGAAGCCTCTAAAAATTTGAGCTCTTAATATTACCATTTAGTGGTGCCTGTTCCTAACTTTCCATTTTCCATCTAAATAACATGGAAAACAATTTTTCTTTATTCTTATTTTTGTAGCTTGACATTTAAGCATTGTAAAAATAAAGTGAAAAATTATTTTGGTAGGAAAAAAGTTCTATTATATTTTTTTCATAGAGTGAGCCGTTCTGAAGATATTCAAACTTAAAGTTGCAAATGTATGA